CCCTAGAGGCTGGAGTGACCCCTTATGGAGGTGGCTGACAGCTCTCTTACCTGCTACTGAGACAAGCAAGCGCACCTGTGGGGCAGTGCTCTGCTCCAAGGCCAGCCCTTCTGATTCTCTTTTTTTTTAATTTTTTTTTTTTGAGAGGTTTTCGCTATAGGGCGCGTGCGCTCGCCAGACAGACAGAGACATAGAGACAGAAAGCGAGAAATCACCCCCCAGGGGGGATGGTCACGCCGCAATCCCTTCTCCTCCATTCTCCTCTCGGGATCTTGGGCACGTACGCACACGCGCCCGGCATGGGTTTTAAGCCACCGGGTCTGGGATACGAACCGCGGTCGACTACGTGGGAATCCAGCGACATAGCCATTACGTTAACTGCTGGTTCCTAAGAGAAACTTTTTAAGATGATACCATTTCTCATTGTTTTCTAGTTGTTATCAATAGTTCATGTCTATTTTAGAACAATATTAGAAAATAGAGACAATCAAGAAGAGTAAAAAAAACTTCTGTAACCTCACAGTTTAGATGTAACTACTTTAACTCTTTAGAGTATATCTTTAAAGAATTTTTTGATTTTTAAACTTACTCAAATAATTTTGTAACTGTATTTTTCATTCATTCTTATAAACATGTTGGTAAATATTTATCTACATTTTTAATGTTGGAATTTTATTGTATGGATACATACTATAACTAGTTCCACTATTCTTGGTCATAATATTTCTTATTTTTTAAATGTTTACATGAACGTTCATTTTATTGTATTGTTTTCAGGTTGGTCTTCCTGCAAAATCTGGAGTCGCTGGAGGCATTCTTTTAGTTGTCCCTAATGTCATGGGCATGATGTGCTGGTCTCCTCCTCTGGACAAGATGGGCAATAGTGTTAAGGGGATTCACTTCTGTCATGTAAGCATATTTTCTTAATGAAAATAATATTGTATAAGTTGAGTCATCCGATTTTTTTTTTTACTTTTTTCCCCCATATTTTTCTGGCACTCTGTCTGCCTTGTGTGCTAGTTACTAATTAGCCATGGAAATACCGGTAGTGGAGCTTCAGGTTGTCTTTAGCAAATGACTCCCATTTAATTATTCTCACAGAAAATTACAATTATTTGATGCTTATGTTTTAATTTCCATGATTATAATTAGCTTTTAGTTTTTAAAAGTCAGCAAAACATATTAATTTGAAGTAATTTAAAATGCAACATATTTTAAGAACGATTATGGTTTATTCTGTCAACTTCAGTCCACATGGTTGAGTATATTTATCCATTAAATACCTTTTAAAATCTTTTTTTTTTTAATTAGAAAATAAGCATTGCAAATTTTAAAAAGTGTTAAAATGTTTACAGGTTGAGCATCCCCAATCTGAATTGCTCCAAAATATGAATAAATATAGCCAGTGAATGCTATAAGCAAGCATAGTTTGTTAAAATTTGAATAAACTTAGCCAGTGAGTTTCAGCTTTATGCCACAAGTGGAAAATCCCACACCTGAACTTCCTATGATGGGTCATAGTAAAGATGCTAAAATATAAAAATAATGTATAAAATTACAGTTAGGCCATTTGTATTAAGTGTATATGAAATGTAAATGAATTTCATGTAAAGTCTAGCCCTGGATCCCATCTCCAAGGTATTTCATTATTTATTAGGTTGTCAGAAAAATCATGACACATTTTTGCATAGAAAAACATAGAAAATTACATCATGACTTTTCAGATGGCCCAATATATGAAAATATTTCAAAATCCCCCCCCAAAATTCAAAATCTGAAATACTATGATCCTCAAATATTTTGAATGAGATATTCAAGCTTTACTTTTGATGAGTTCAGTATTTTTTTGTCACCCAATTCTTGCTAATATTTCAACTTCTGGTTTTATTTATATTTATTACTTCTAAAATCTGGATTGAATGCTATCATTTATTTTTTTCAGGCTTTCTCAGTTACAATTCTGGTTTTCTTTTTTAGTCTTTCATATTTTTAAAAAACTAGAGAATAACATGGGACTGCATATAAAGTAAATTATAATAAGTTGTAGCCATAATCCTTATGTATATTTTTACAAAAGGTGCTTTGCAGTTCCTTGACAGAAGAATTTTTTCTTGTGGCCTGTCATTATAAACCTCATTTTATAGAAGATGAAAAGTTATGACAGATTGAGTGTCTGACCCTCAAGTCATGCAGCGTTCTCAGTATTCTGTAGCCATATTTACTCTGATTTCAGTTCTCTTCTTGAAGCATTATGCTGCGTTATTAACATGTAGTGATATTTCTATAAAATAGTAATTAAGCTGGATTGTACAAACAAAGTTTGTTAAAATGTGAATAAACATAACGAATAACCAAACAGTGTCTCACACCTGTTCTGTGTAACTGTTTACAGGATCTTGTTTCTCTCTGTAATTTTCATAACTATGATAATTTGAGACACTTTGCGAAAAAACTTGATCCTCGAAGAGAAGGTGGTGATCAGAGGGTAAGCAAAATTCTTATGTATGATTTTTTTAATGAGAATATGCGATTAGCTTTTTCAAATAAAGCTTAAATTCATTTCTTAGTGGCCTCATGTCTTTGCCAATCACAAATGAGTATAAACAAATTTTTGACATTTTTATCCTAAATCACTAGTACATAGATAGTAAATATTTGTTGTTTTTCTTTTTTCTATTGGAACTGGTTAACCTAGCAGCAGAGGTTTCCCCCCCCCCATTTTCTGCCTTTTTTTAACCAAAACTTTCATAACTGATTAAGTTAACAGAAGACATTGGACGTTGCTATATGCTATAAATCTACTAAGAAAGAAATCCTTATTTTCACTTCTAGTAATTATCAGATATAAATCTAAATTGAAGTTTATTTCATCTCCTTACCTACTACTGTGTAGATTGGATATTATAATGGAAAAGGGATTGTAATATTAGTGAGAGACCTCATGAAACCTCATATGTTTTACAGGCCACTATACATGAAATTATTTTTTCTAGAAAGGATGTTGAATAAAATATTCCCCTTACCTTTAAAGTCCTGTTTGTTTATTTTCAGTGTGTTTGGCTTCACATTATTATAAACATGAATTGTTTTTTACCACTGCTATTAAGAGTGAGGATTGGGCTAGTCCTATGGCCTGGCAGTCAGGGAAACCAGATCCCACATGACTGACCACATAGTTTGACTCCCTGTCCTGGTGGCTTGAAAACACACCAGGTAGGTGTGCATGCATGCCCCAAATCCTAACAGTGTGGAGAAATGGAGAAGGGATTGTGAGGTGACCACACCCTATGGGGTGTGCTTTATCCTTCTCTCCCTGTGTGTGTCTCTCTCTCTGGCAAGCACACATGCACTGTGTAAAGTTTTAACAATCAGTCAATCAATAAAATAAATAAAAGGAGTCAAGATTTAAATTTGTTAGTCTGTATTGTTTTTCACTGGACCAAGGTACTTGATATTGAGAATTAGGTTAAGTTCCTTTATATCTCATGATTTATAGTAAAATGACCAAATAAGACTTGAAGGTAATATGAAGCATTTATAAATAGAAAATATTTGAAATACATACTGAGTAAATTTGTGTTATTGCCAAGCTAAATTTTCGTTAATTCCAACCAATGTAACTTCTGATAATACATGAGGATTATGCAAAGCCAGCAGAATAGAAACTTTCATGGGTGTCAGCATGTGTAATATGGAGTAAAATGTCAGATGGTGGTGGGTAAAATTGTTAACAGATTTTAATAATGTTCATTGACAAATACCATTTTATAGCTTGGACCTTTCTTCACTCAAGTGCACTAATAAATTATGTATGTTGCTTGAACAACTAGCATTCCTTTGGACCATTGGACTATGAAAGTCTCCAACAAGAACTTGCTTTAAAAGAGACAGTATGGAAAAAAGTGTCACCTGAGTCAAATGAGGACATCTCTACAACTGTAGTATATAGAATGGAAAGTCTGGGAGAGAAAAGCTAAAGAAACGGGTTCTAGTTTCAGAATGTTTCTCTGTTTAAGCTCTAAACATCTTTAGCTCTTTTGCAAACTAAATATTTATTTGAGTTTCTTTTTTCTTTTTTTTTTTGTATTTTCAACCTGGGTGCTGGAGCCATAAAGCATCTTTTTCTTTTAATCTTTATGTACAGATAATAGATTGCAAAGTCAATTTGTTGATCTTTAAAAAGATATTTACAAGTAAATAAAGCAAACTTGCTTTATTTTTGAAACATACAAAAAAGAAAACCTAAAAAATTCTTGATGTAATTAAAATTTTAACTCTATAGTCAGATAATCCCATCTTAAAATAGTAACACAAAATTGCAGTTTATTAGTTCTAAACCTCTATAAATCGAACTAGCCAGTTTTATTTTGTTTTCTTTTTCAATTTTAAAACTGACATGTCTCCAGTGACAATAAAAAGTACTTGTGTGCTAAATATTTAACTAAAAAGGCAAAAAAAAGAATCTCTAATTATTTTATTTAAAATAGCACTAGATTATAAAATTAGCTTCAGTTTAAATGCCATTTTTAGTGATAGATTGGCCTTCAAGTTTTAAGAACTCATTTAAAACTTTATCAAATGGTTTGTCTCCTTACTTTTATTACTTTGCAATGCCTATGTTTTGTCAGAAATATGTACAGGAGTGTCTTTATGTTACTAAAACATTCCAGCCAAAGAATTTTACATAAGATAATGACGTGTTTCACTGTTAAAAAGCTATAATGGTTACTCAGAAGGCGAGACAGTGAGTATCTTCAAGTGAAATATTCACCTAAACAATTTTATTTTCATATTATCCACATAATTTTTCTACATTATATTTAAGTATGAATGGCAAATCTTGATTTTTAGCTTTTAATAATTTTATTCTAATAATTTCACAAATGCTAATGAATATTTCTTTTGTGGTAAATTATAACATTTCATAAAGCTTGTTCTGTGTGAACGCTTAGAGTACTTAGGAAATGAATTAGTCTGAAGGTAGTAAGTTTACTACTAAAACATCTGTTAGATTTGAATTCTTTTGTTTGCTAATAAAAATGCAATATTGAGAATCAAAACATTTTTAAGAGAAATACATGTTCTATACAGCCTGACTATTCACAGTATTTAGAATCTGTCTTGGCAAAGTGATTGTAAAATTCTGTAGGACCTGTTTATACTTCTTCCTTCTTCCATACACCTTCTCCGATTTTCTCCATAGTTCCCCACAGTTAAAAGCTATTTTATTTTTAAGCTCACTTTTAAATGTGTAAACTTTGGGTGGGGTAGGTTTTAGAAGAAACTTGATGGTTTCTTAGCATGATGGCATACATGTGGTAGACAAAGGCTGTACAGTATATACAGTGTAGCAAAATGTACCTCACTCAGTGATTTATATGCTAGCATAGACAGAGATGTAGAAAACTTGATGATATGTCTTAAGTTTAGGAACTGCGTTAATAAAAGAAGTTCCTTCTCAGAAGTGCTGGTCAAAAACATTTTTGACTAAGTGTTAAATTTATATATATTTAAACAATTAAATATTGCTTTGCCAAAATCTTATTTAGTGTTTTATGGTTACTTGAATGTTCCTGCGATGTTCAGGTATATATCCTGACTGGAGGCAAGAGAGGTCTTGCCTCTCTTGTGCCTTTGTACAGTTTCACATTTGTGTTTTTCCACCAAGGCCATTTGTGGTTTGGGCAGTCAAATGCCTTAATTGGAAAAAGGGCTTTATTTTCCCCTCCTCTCCACTAAATTGTCAGATGTTTATTATTTTAGTTGGAGATTGATTTTACTTTATAAAATGAAGATTTGGTTTTCATACTATGTGCATATTTGTATAGCTATATTAAAATGAAGTTGTTAATTTGTGGCAGCTATTATGTCAATAAGGATTAAGTGCACACTTAGAATGCACACTTTTAAATGAGGTAGGGTTATCTAAGCTCTACCATGTTTAGAGAACCTTGTTAGAAAACAGCATCCAGAATTTTTTTAATAAGAATTATTTAATTTTATTTATTTATTTTTTTTTTAATTAATTTGACCAGAGAGGCACACGCACAGAAAAAGGAAGTAAAAACTCAAGCATCCAGGTCCATGAGACTCAATCCATGGTCAGCCATGTGGGAATCCATCTCAACCATCATACTACCTGCTGGCCCCATCCAGAAATTTTTATAGGGAGGTGTAACTGGAAGAAGAGATAAGATGTTGTGAATAGGCCCTCAAACTTAAAGGAAAAGTCTTTGCCAGTCCTAAGAACGTATTTTGATTCCTTCAGTATTCTTAATACCTTTTCAAATAAAGTTCTTGAAAAGTACCCAGTATTGTTGGGTTTAATGTTTCATGCCATTACTGATTCTTGATATTCAAGCATTTAAATACAAGATAGCAATTTTTTTCTTATTTTTCTTTTTTTTTGGCATCATTAACATTTCATTTGAAATGCATATTCTTCCTAAAATACTTTGTTTTTTAGCATAAATGTTGTGCATTTTATCTTAGTGTTTGGATGAAAACATTTGTGTTGTTTAGCTTTCTTTTATTTGCTTTGTATATTTAATAATGTACAACTTTATTTTCCAGTATGCCTTTTTGTATTGTACAATAAATTTATTTTATGCTGATTTTACTGTTTTTTTTTTAAATATATATAAAAGCAAATTTAAACCTTACTCAATCCATGGTCAGCCATGTGGGAATCCATCTCAACCATCATACTACCTGCTGGCCCCATCCAGAAATTTTTATAGGGAGGTGTAACTGGAAGAAGAGATAAGATGTTGTGAATAGGCCCTCAAACTTAAAGGAAAAGTCTTTGCCAGTCCTAAGAACGTATTTTGATTCCTTCAGTATTCTTAATACCTTTTCAAATAAAGTTCTTGAAAAGTACCCAGTATTGTTGGGTTTAATGTTTCATGCCATTACTGATTCTTGATATTCAAGCATTTAAATACAAGATAGCAATTTTTTTCTTATTTTTCTTTTTTTTTGGCATCATTAACATTTCATTTGAAATGCATATTCTTCCTAAAATACTTTGTTTTTTAGCATAAATGTTGTGCATTTTATCTTAGTGTTTGGATGAAAACATTTGTGTTGTTTAGCTTTCTTTTATTTGCTTTGTATATTTAATAATGTACAACTTTATTTTCCAGTATGCCTTTTTGTATTGTACAATAAATTTATTTTATGCTGATTTTACTGTTTTTTTTTTTAAATATATATAAAAGCAATTCTAACACTTTAAGTAAAACAAACAGTTGGGATTTTAACTTAGCAATAAAAATATCCTTTCTGAAGATACTGTTAAAGTGTTTACTCTTCTGAAGCAGCCTTGAAGTAAGACTAGAAATATTCAAATAGTCTTCATTTGATTTTTTTTCTTATGTAGTAGCGTTGTTGTTTTTTGTTTTTGTTTTTGTTTTTGTGGGGGGAGGAAATTTTCTACTGGTTGTATTAGGCATATTTAAATAAAGACTTTTCTCCCAATTTTTT